CCAGATTATTGAGAGTGCTTCAGGATCAAGTGAGTCATTAGATGTTCAGCCATCACCAATAGGATGGGCGTTAAAAAGTAGTGCTAGCCGTCGCCGTCTTACAAAGAATCAAAAGAAGTACTTGACTGACATATTTCTTCTTGGCGAACAGACTCGCCAGAAAGCAGACCCTGACGATGTCTCTAAGTCAATGAGAAAAGCGCGAGATACTGATGGATCATCTCTATTTAAATCTGATGAGTATCTGACATCCAAACAGATTGCAAGTTTTTTTTCTCGTTTGTCGTCCAAGAAATCTGTTCCAGAAGCCAATAGTACAAGTGATAATGATGATGATGATGATGAGGACGACAATGATAATGACGATGACTTATCGTCAGTGAAGGAGTATCACCGGATTCGAGATGAGATTTTAAACGAGATTTCCCTTAACCATCCAATTATCTACGACTCATACAACATCTGTGAAATGGCGGCAACTTCCAAGCTCCCCAAATTTTCAATAGCAATGCTGCAAGTAATATGTAGATATTTTGAACTAGATATATCTAGCGTGAAGCAGAAAAGAAAGAAGCCATATGTAGATATGTTAGTGAACTTAGTCCAATCATGTACGTGCAATTCACCAATTTAAGCCTCAAACTTTGGCCCTCAAAAATTGTTTAGTACGATTTCATCGTACTACAGAGAACCCAATATAAGTATTTGTATAGTAATTGTATAATAATGTTTTTGAAGAAATTTAAAAAGTAAAGCTCCTTCTTAACCGATCTGTTGTTTGCGCGATCTGAGAGATTTTAAGGGAAAATATTAAATAGTCATTGAATGAAAATTTTCACGAAAGGAAATTGAAGAAAATTAAAGAGGAAGTTACGTTGCAAAGATTGGTTTGTTGTTTATTTTAATATTTACAGTAAAAATATATTAGATTCATTTACATTTTCGTTTTTTCATGCAACTGCTAATGATATGAATAATTTCAGTTAAAATCAGTGCTTGTAACGGACTCCGATGGTCAGAAAACACACTAACCTGATATGGATAAGATATACTGTTTCAAAACTGTTGACATTTTGACAGGCCAGGAGTATTTATGAGATGTTTTGTATAAAAGACACAGTTTAAATGCTACTTTGGAGTACTTTCAGAACTAAACATGTAAGTACTTTGTTCTTAATACTACTGATTTGATTTAAATGTTACAAATATCAATTGAGACCCTTTTGTTTATACGATAAACACATGGATTTTGTCTTGTGTAAAGTGACGGCACGTGTCAAAGGTGAGCAATATGAACCAACTTTGGGAAGCAATAGCGTAACGCACAGTCATTTGCCCAAAGTAATCTTTATATCATTCGAAAGATCATTATTTAGACTTGAGATTAGCAACGTTTCAAGGCATTCAAAGCTTAAGCACATTCACAATATGATTTTTTGTAAAACATACTTTTATCGACTCGTTTTACGTGTCTTGCGAATAAGATTAATTTCAAAGGTCAGAATTGTTCTATTGACTCCAAAGTCGCACAATCTGTCGAGTGAGAATTGTACTAGTAGACTGAGGTAGTTTTATGTGCATAGAATCAGTATTTTCTTGGGTTGAAGCCGCTAAAGTGCAGTCAATTGTAGGGGCTAAAAATAGCATTTCCAACCGTCTTCGAAAAAATGCGAATTTCTCCTCTAAAAAGCAATGTTTGATCAAATTAACTACACAGCAATTCTTGGGATACTTAGGCCTATCATTCCTGGAAATACGAGCTAAAACGATTTTTGAAGGTTGGCCAGACTTGTTTGATATTTACTGACAAGCCCTCTTAAAGTGTATATGAAATGAAAAATAACTACTCACCATACTCACCATAGTCTTTAAGAAGTATTAAAAAGATCACATATTTAAGGCACTTTGGTCCAAATAACGTTTAAGACCGATTTTCAAGCCTTTAAAATAGGCTATTTAAAAGTTGTCCATTTTACTGCGCGGCCACATCCCCCCCCGTTTTGTGACGTAGAAACCTTGACAGCAAGCCTGTGCGATATGGAAATAATGGCGGCAACTAATAGTAGAAAGAGAAAGCAAGGAGGCGATTATTGTGTTGCCAGTGGCCCTAACAAAGTCAGTTGTAAGAATAATAGCTATAGTGAATGTATTTCAATGCACTACTTTCCAAAAGACGAAATTGTCCGTAAGAAATGGACAAATTTTGTTCAAAAACACAGAAAAAACTTTGTGCCATCGAATAAGTCGTGTTTGTGTTCGGCGCACTTCGACAAAAGCTGCTATGAGAACAGGGCAATTCCCTTTGTTGATCTGCCAGATATGGATCAACCGCCAAGGTTTAAACAAGGCATTGGCTAATGCTACCAGCAGTCCTAGCTTACCTGATGGATCTACTGGCACTGAAACATGTCCAAGTCCTGATGACACCTATGTAGAAGCTCAAACAACATCTTTACAATCTGTTCCTACATCTACACTACAAAGCTAACATCCACTCCTACCAAGACTGCTAACAGTCCGAACTTTTCTTATGAATCTACCAACACCTGTACATGGCCGAGTCCTTCAGTCACTCCTGTAGAATATGCAACCACATCCACACCAAAACACACATGTTATAAATGTAATGGACTTAGAAAGAAATGTTACCTACTAAGCAGAAAGAATAAGCGATTGACAAATCGGATACAATGTTTCAAAGATAAAGTGCAGCAGTTGCAGAATGTGCTGGTATGGATGCCATTAATTACCCCAAGTACTAGATTTAAATTAACAGGTTTACTTGTACAGGATGAGTTTGAAATCTATATAGCTTCACTGAAAACTAAGTACTAAGTGTAGTTTAATGATAATATATGGCACTTTCTCGGTATATGAGCAGCTGAAATACAGTTCTAAAGGTTTGGGTTAGGGTGTCAGCATACAGTAGAGTAGCCCTATTTCGGTTGCTCCTACACAGAGAAAGGGACTAAAATTTTATTTTTCTCATTAATTTTTGCATTGAGTGCAGATTACTTTATGCCAACACACACACCGATGCTTGCAGTAATAATGTTATTACATGTACAAGCAGACCTAGCAGGAAACTGTAGATAGCATTTGTATCATCTGACCTATAACTTTTTTCTGGATGTATGAGTGCTATACTGTATATATTAACACATCGAGTGACAAAACCTTTCTCCTTCATGGGTAAAATCATCTGGTATTAGACATACTGTAGTGAAATGACAAAGTAAGGCTTTTGGGGGTGAATTACCAGATATTAAAAGGGTTGAAAGATACGTACATTTCTATATATAACAGAGAGCTCCTGAAATGGAAACAGATTGTGTAGATGACCAAGTCAGTGATAGTGAACGAGAAACAGTTGAGAACAACAATGATGACAACAATGGCAGTGATTATGACATTGATAGTGATGACGATGTTGACGATGGAATGGCAGCTGCTGAGAACCCGTCAGACTTAATACACGACCCTAATTGGACTGCCGAAGAATGCTATGAAAATGAACAACTATAGTGAAGAAGATGATGATGAAGAAACTGAAGAATATCAAAGCAAGAGTTCTCGAAATGAAGTCAGGTATACAACCATTAATTGCAGATATTGTGTTTTATACAATAGTTCCAGAATAACAGTATAATAAGTCCAGACCCAACAGATATAGATGTGCTTACTTTAATGTCTTTACATGTAAATTTTGCAACTAATGGTTTCACACTAACAATGAATGACAGGTGACTCCTGATGATTGCATGCAGTATGAAAACATTGGTGTGAACTTAAGACATTAACCCATTCACTGGCGGTACCCTACCACTGACGAGTAAAATCGTCTGGCATCAGACAGAGTAAATACTAAAGTAGGGTGCATCTTGGCGCATTGCCAGCTAATGGGTTAGTTAACAAGAGACATTGGCAGATATGTTTGTTAACCCATCTACTGGCAGTACCATACAAGTGACAAGTAAAATTGTCTGGCATTAAACAGAGTAAATACTACAGTAGGGCGCATCTGAGCGCATTGCCTGCTAATGGGTTATACTGTACACTATTTGTTCCAGCTATAAAATGTACTGTAGAGCACCAGGTGAGGATATTTTACTTTCATTAATATAGGTTTGAAGCTCAACAACCAATCCATGAAGAACCTAAGTTCATAGTTTTCCTGAGCATGTTGGTGCCATTGTTTACAATGTTCTGCTTTAAATGTAAAGAAAACAAACCATCCATAAGTGTCAATCGTAATGGTACCAAGGTGACAGTATGGCAGCACTGTCAAAAGTGTGGAGAAAAAGCTTTTAAAGAGGAATCACAACCAATGGTACTTGGGAAATATCCAGCAGGAAACATTATACTTAGCTTTGCTATTTTAATGGCCAGGGCATCTGTAAGCAAGGTGCTACTTGTATTTAGGCACATGGGACTATGCGTGTATAATGTTCGCACATATTTTATACACTAACAGAGGCGTAGCCAGTATTTTCGGTCAGGGGGGGGCCAGCAAAAAGCTAGGTGGGGCCAAGCCGCCAGTTCGCGCAAGGCATTCTGTGCAGTGCTGGGTAAAATTAATTGTTGACACATGGGATTTTTCAACTTTCCGCTGATATAAGAATATTAAAAAATGTACATTTCGCTTAAGTCATTAAAGTTCCATATTTTATAGTTATAATTTTAGTGTTCTATGCATCAAAGTGCATGTCTACACGAGGGTATTAACATCACTGCTAGTACATGCTTTGAAACATAACAATTACTTTTAACTTTAACTCAACTGTCAATTGAACAACTGCCAGTTACAACGGCACAGCTAATCTTCTAGGTTTAGTGTTCCACTTCATCAAGAACTGTTCAAATGAAATTGCTCTAGTAATGGCGTTCTCAAAATGCAATAATGTTAGTCTTGACTTTCTGTATGGTGTCATTCGTCTTTGGTGACATGTGTCGACTCTATTCAGGGCAGAAACACACATTCTACCACCGAGCTGGAATACCCAGCAGTTACAGCAACCAAATACATTTGCTGCAAAATTTCAGCACCATTGCAGTGTTAACATAATGTTGTTGTCCGTGTCATTTTGTTCACGTTTGGCTTTACAGTCTTCTTACTTTTTGCATCATTCTCGACTTTCTTCTTCTGGAATTCAAGCTCAGCCAAACTATCTTGTCTGGCATTGAAATCCTGTATTACACTATGAAACACATCACATTCACTTTTCAGTTTATGAAAAGAGAGATCTTCAACTTTCTGACTTATTACTGGAATAGTTTTGATAAAGTCCAGGAGAGGTCTAAGTTTATTAGCATCAAGAAACGGGGCTTTGGATGGTTCCAACGTTGCAAAGGACAACCACAGTTCTGTATTGAACTCACTGAAACGGTTATCAAATTCAGCATCAAGATTGTCAAGTACCTCAACTGCTAATGCATGTAATTGTTCCAAGTTGTTGTTCATATCCCGATATATTGGAAGCTTATCTGTCAAGACCGAGTCCTGAAACTTATCTGGGATGGTTCTTTTACTGCCAACGCCGGGTTCAATCACTGTCGTAGCAGCGCATTCAGGATAAATGAGATGTGTGATGCTCTCTATGGTGTACTTCTGGTGCAGATCATCTAGGTTTTCTCTAATGGATTTCAGTATGCTAAGTGATGTTTGTAAATCACAATCAGACTTCTGGAAAGTCTTATTAAGGATATCCAGAAGGGATAAAACACCCATCATAAATGGTATGAGAAAGATGCTAACAGGCTGTTTTAAGGATGATAAATAACTCCTAGCTTTGGCATGATATTCTGAATCTACTGACTTTGAAACTACACATTTCTCCAGTGTGGCATATACATCTTCAATGTATTTTGAAATAACTTTGAGACTTGATAAATGCCCATCCCATCTTGTAGTTATCAACTTTTTTAAAGAATCATCTTCATAGAGCTTATTAATCTGAGGGATTCTGAAGTTGAAAGAAATCACCTAACTCTAAAATGTTTGACAAAGTATCTCTTATCACTAAACCAAGTCGATGGTTCAGACAGTGAATGTATGGAATATTACGGCCACAGTGTTCTTGGATTAACTGTTGCAAACCACCTGATAAAAAATATAAGTGTAATAAAATGAAATAGAATAATATGCTTATTTATAGACTTCAATGATAACTCATCAACACTAAACTTTATGATGCATGCTGCATCTTACTCACCTTTTGTCCCAGACATGACACTAGCCCCATCAAAAGTATTGGAAACTAGTCCATCCATTGATATTTCACCCTCGTCCTCTAGAGTTGTTGTAGCGATGTCCACAAGACCCTTTGCAGACCTGTCTTCTGCCAACTTGACATCGACCACGTGTTCCACAATACCTCCTTTGCTGTTGTTCCAATATCTCAAAGCAACACCTTCCATTTCACTAAATATTGTTGTGATATGACCAGAATTAAATACTACAGTAACAAACACTACTACAGTAGTTAATCTGCCAGTTATTTAAGTTTGTAAGGTTAATACTGTACCTCTGACTGCTATCAGTAGTTCCATCCATCATTAGGGTGAATAACTCTGCTTCTTTGCACTCGTTGGCGACTGTCTCTCTCAATCTCTGCTAGAGTTTCTATTACCTCATTTTGTATTTCTGGTGAGGTATATTTTGCATTGGTTGGAAGGTATGTCGCTATTTGTTGCAAATGAGGATCTTGAGGAAAAATAAGATCAGAGAATGTATTTAAATAGAGCCCTCCTGACAGGCCCTCTTCTAACATCGAGTTTTCTTCGTGTCCGCGAAAGCTAAGACCATTAGCAACCAGGTATTTGGTAGTGTTGAATACTGTTTTCAGCCATATCTTGTGTTCTGGCCTGACTTGGATAAGGTTTCGTACCGTCTGACCACGTTTCTCACGAAACTCTTTCCGAGATGCCATTGCTCTCATATGAATCTCTGACTGCTCATGTTTTTTAAATCCTTTCCCACTTTCCATGGCCATCTTCCAGTTTGAGAATCCACTCTCTATAAATGCTTTTTCTTTTGTGGAATCTTTTGCAAACATTTGACAAGGATAGCAAAAACATGCATCTGCATCTTTGAAATACTCCAGCCAAGAAAAAGCATTGTACCATGTGCTTTGGAAAGATCTTTCTCGATTCCCTTGCCTTTTCTTTGCATACTGTTTTAGCAAAGGTCTTGATTGTGGGCGAAGTTACTGAAAACTTGATCCACTTGTTGATGAAGATTGTGATAACATATACATATTTCGTAGAGATTTGCAATTGAGATTTGAAAAATTTGCAATTGAAATGGTTTTTTTTAAACCGAGCCGCGTTAAAAATTCACTGGTAAAAATCAGATTGGTTAAAACTTCATCTAACCTTCATTAAATACATATTGAAATAATTAAGGTTAGAAAAGGTATGTGTTTCAAGCTGTGTGTCCCGCAAATAAGCGAACAAGATTTTAGGTTTCACACTGATGCGCAGCAAAGCATATATTCTACAGAATTTTTGCATTATTGACAGCATGAAGCTATATAATCAAGAATTCCCTTTTTTATACAATACATTTTATCAGGGGGGGGGGCAAAATTTTGCCAGGGGGGCTGGGCCCCCTGGCCCCAGCCCTGGCTACGCCTCTGTACACCAACACAACTTTTTGTTGCCTGCGATACTCAAATATTGGGAAGGATATCAAGCTGTGCTTGTGGAAAAAGTCAAGACAATGAAAGATACAGTTTGGTGTGGAGATGGGAGGATTTGACTCCATGGGGCATAGTGCCAAATATGGATCATACACAATGTTTTGTAGCACTGCACTTAAAATTGTGCATTTTGAAATTATCCAGGTATTACTGTAATGCTTAACCCATTGTGGAGTGTGAGACTCTCCCCTTGATGAGTAAAACTGTCTGGCATTAGTCAGAGTAAAAGAATAAAATAGGGTGCATTTGGGTACATTGCCGCTTAATGGGTTAATTTATTTGACTTACTTAGTGAAGATGTGCTACAGTCCAGGGGTCGGTTGTTCAAAAGCCAGTTAGCTTAACCCTTGGTTAATTAAATGTGAAATTACAAAGCATACAGTACAAATATTTTTTCAGAAATCTTATCTGGATTATCAGAAGTTCAATTTTATAAAGTTTTGAAATAAACAGACGTGCAGATATACATAAATTTACCAAAGCAATAGGTTTAATTTAACTCACGGTTAGTGCTAATCTAGCTTTGAACAACCGGTCCCAGTTTGATATTAGCACAGGTCAGTTTTGTTTAGATTACAGTGTCAAATCATTAACTTCATAAGATGGCTCAAAACACACATATGCAAAATGGACTGCACCACATTTTCAAGCGTTTTTTCCCCATGCAACCAAAATCAACTACTGCATGTAGCCATGTAGGTATAGTGCTGAGTGTACATTGCCTCCAATGAATGTTAATATAAACCTGTATACGTATACATTTAAATAGTAAAGCTATCTGGAATGTTTCTTGTTCTTCCAGGCAAATGAAACAGGTGGCAGCTCACCCATGGAACTAGAGAGTGTAAAGAGGGCTTTTGATTATTTGGCACGAGTTGGGATTAATATTTGTGTCTTCATTTCTGACCGCCATCGAGGGATTGCAAAATGGATTCGTGAAAACAAGCCAAACACATTACATTTCTATGATATTTGGCATGTTGCTAGATCGATCCAAAAGGTCCTGCTGAAGTTAAGCAAAGAAAAAGGATGCGAGAGGATTGCAAAATGGATGAAAGCAGTTCGCACCCATCTTTACTGGTGTGCTACGTCAACAAAGCAAGGGTTTGAAGAATTGATCCTAGCCAAGTGGAAGTCTTTCATGAATGATGTAACAAACACACATGAAAACCACCCTGATCCACTGTTTAGAAAATGTTTACATGGTGACATCGACCGTCGCAAGTGGATACACAATGGTATTTAAAAGTAGGTTTAGAAAGTAAGATCAATTTGCTGTGTTTTTCATTTAGTTTTTTATTTTTCAGGAACAAAAGCATATCAGAAACTCCATGCTGCTCTGCTGAAAACAAGGCTCCTGAATGATATCAAAAAGCTATCACCTGATGCCCAAACTAGTAGTCTGGAAGGATTCCACGCGACGTTAAATCATTGGCACCCGAAAATGATTTGTTTCAGTTGGCTTGGGTCATATTGCAGGTAAAAATTACTAATATGATGATCCTTAATCTTATTATCTAACCCATTATTAACCCGTTAACTGGCAATGCGCCCAAATACATCCTACTTTAGTATTTACTCTGTCCAACGCCGTAAATTTCCATGATAATTTAAATGATAAATTTCCATGTTGATAGTAGAATGACGAGAATTGAAAATATGACAGCAATTCAACTTCGAGGTATTTTTGAAATCCAAAATGGCGAGAATATCTGAAACACTGATCTGAAACAACACGAGGCCAAACCATGCCCGTTCGCAGGTTAGATGGCCGACACGATGTAACATAATCGCTGATTGGCTTAAATTGGCTAAATTGGCTTAAAATATATAAGCTCGTCGGTACGGTACGGTCACGTTTGCGATAGCAATATATCTGCTTCGCAGATACAAAAATCTTGTGTTATAAATCACAGCTCAATCAGTGTGCATTTCAATTAACCCACACTATACTCTAGAAATGGCCCTATCATCTGGGTTAGTCTAATAATATTCCTGTTAAAGCTACGTCCTTGTTATTTATCTCACTTCCTACCATAATCTATTCAATGCCACCCGGAATATGGTATATTAATTTAATCAGGACACATGCTTTGGTCAAAATTATTGAAAATATTTCAGAATTAATATTATTAATGATATACATAAAGATATTACTCAACTGTGATTGGTTGATTTCAGTGCAGTTAATCCCAAACAGCAGTGCAATTTTCTGTAATCACAGTGCAATTTTCTGTAATCACAGTGCAATTTTTTGTAATCACAGTGCAATTTTCTGTAACAAACTAATCTGATTGTTGGAAAAACATTGTGATGATTAAATCAACCAATCAGTTTAAAGCAATTTAGTTTAAACAAGTAACGGTTACAGATTGCTTCAAAACAAAACAAACATGGCGCTGCGCTACAGTGAAGTAAAAGTTGCTTTCGCGTGAAAAATATGCCTTTTATCTTTATTTTTAAATGGAAAAGCATTGACCTTAAACAAGACTAACAAAAATTACATAGTTGAGTGGAATTTTCAAGCTGTTAGCGTTGCATAATGTGATATAACAAAGCCAGGAAAAGTTTGCCGGTGGAATGTTCGCTATAAACGCGTAAGTTAAAACTACAATTGTCTCGAACATTTTTATGTAAATTATTAATAAGTAATAGCATGGTTTCTCGTGAAATTTGGATAAACATGCACTCGTGAGTTTCAAAGACCTCAAATAGCACTCGTCCCTCGGACTCGTGCTATTTCGAGGTCTTTGAAAAACTCACTCGTGCATGTTATATCCAAATTGCACTCGAAACCATGCTATTACCTATACTAATAGGAGCATTTTTAAAGATACTGCATGTGCATACATTCGATAACATACCTTGTTATTAGTGACAACCTCCTGCAATTCTTGTATGCACTTTTCGTTTACCAATGTCAATTGAGAATCTTGTTTGTAGTCAATACAGATGCATCATCCATCAATCATAAATAGATGTACCTATATCATAAAAAGATGTGACTCCCCCCGATTGTCTATTTAACTGTTAGCAAAATTTTCCTATAGTTAGTGGACCAAAATAAATCTTATTTAGAAAAGAGCTGCCATTAAGTTATATAACTTTTCTTGCAACAAATATTTTGCACCGAAATGAATAAGCAACAGCGATGCTATATATATACCTTTCTGTTTCCATTTCATTCCAAGTCATCAGGATATTTCCATGGGAAACTGCTAGACCGGTTTGTCTCGAACCCTGTGGTAAGCCTGGACTTGGAGTAAGAAGTCTGAGTAAGTATTATTGACAGCTGGGTCATCTACTAGGGCTTTGGCGAGAATTTGTAACATCAATGACTTTCCTACATTTCGTTCAGCAGAGTATATCATACTGATAAGGCCAGGGTCATCTAGTCAGAAAATAAAAAGAAAATAAACATGTGATACATTTTTATTAGAGGTATGAGACATGATATTATTGATGAAAAGAATATTACGTTGCGAGGAAATCTTAGTAGTCTGGGTTATGAGTGTCGATTTGTGTACTAGTTTTTCATGTATAACTTGTGGTGATGATGAAGAAGTCTGTGTTGGTGTATAGATATAACATGTAAAATTGACAACAAGCACAAGCCAATATAAACATTCATGTTTTTATGGCTTCTGTGCGAACAATGTTTGTGACTCTTTCCAATAAAAATTGCCATTACAATCAACTAATCACAGAACCTGTTAAGACTTATTTGCACTATACTATACTCAAATTGTAAGTAGATTGCATCGTTTTAGGCAAATGTAGCATATTGTAAGTTGGGCTTTAAAATTATGATTACCTGCTGTGCCCTGTCCTAAAACGATGATGGTGACTGGTTTGATGATGAGGACTTCGTTTTTTTATGGTAGTAATATGTGATTCGAAGAAGCATTTGAGGAGGGAATGAAGGGGCATGAAATTATGAATTGTGGTTATTTGAGTGCAAAGAAGCGGGATAAGGGAGGGCCATTTGATGGAGGTTATATTTCATTTTACTTAGTGCTAAATCTTGTTTTAACTTTATTTTGTCAAGATAAGGACGAGGCTATACGTCGTTTGGAAGCTCTTGAAAAAGGTAAAGCATTCAATCATGGCGGACGTGAAATTTGTGGCTCCGTTATTTGTCTTATTTATTTTATGTATGTCCTACTTCGATGTTAAGCACACACCAAATGATCTTGATGTTGCTCAAACCTGTTCTTGTATAAATAAGGACGCTTTTGTGTTAGGAAGGTACTTTTTGTAGTTTTCTATCGACCCCAAGCTCCGACCTACCT